GCCCCCAGCTGTTTGAGATCCTGGCCAAGACCCTGTACGGCCATGAGAAGAAAGGTCTGTTTGGGATCGACCAGCTGCTGTCCCAGGGCGTCTTCAAGGCGGCCTTCCCCCTGCACAAGGTGAGACCTGGGGGCTGGAGAGGTTGTGGTGGGGGTCTCGGACCCAGGCATGGGCTGAGTTCCTAGATGAGGGGTCTTGCTGTCACCTGTCGGGTCAGCTGTAGCCAGACAGGAAGCCTGTAATGTGACCAGGCCATGCTGCTGTTCAAGGTCCTGGGCAGCCAGGCACTGCCCTCTCAGCACACGAGAGGCCCAACAGCTGCATCTTCATGGGGGAGACTGAGAGGTCCCCTGTGCTCCCCAAATCTGGGTAAACTGAACAGTGAAGGGGCGCTCACCATCGTCCTGACAAAATGTCCACCGAGGTCTGGAGGCTGTTTATGCCCCTCACACCCGCAGCTGCCCACCGAATTCAGAGCTGCAGGAAGGGGCAGCAGGGTGGAGGGCAGGGTCAGGCCTGCAGCTGCTGTGTGAGGTACCGAGGGGCCACCTGAGGACATGCAGCGGAACGGCCAGCTCCACTTTGGCTGTGGGGCATCCCTCTTCCCGCCTCTGGCCAGAGCACAGGACGCACAGCCGGCCTCGCTTGCCCGGTGCTCGGCGGGTAGCACAGCCCCAGGCTGCAGAAGCCCACCCACCCAGAGATGCCAATCCATCCTGGACCACAGCTGCAGCTCCTCCTGGACGGAGACCCCGGGACCCCCGGGAGGCCGAGGTGCCCAGCTCAGATGCCTCTCCCGGAGGGGCCTTCCTAGATGCCCCCGGGACCCAAACATAACTCTGTCATCCTCGAGCAGCAACCCTGCGTCCAGGACACCAGGCACGTGGCCTTGCCCAGCGCTGAAGGCCTACACTTAGAATAGGGCCTGGTAGGATGCCCAGACCAGCCTGAGTCCCGCCCACTGGCTTCTCGTCCCCAGGGCCCCTTCACAACACCCCCTGAGGGCCCGTGGGCCCCTGGCCTCAACCAGCGGCAGGTCCTGTTCCAGTACTGGGCCCGCTGGCGCAAGTGGCACAGGTACCAGCCTCTGGACCACGTGCGCAGGTACTTCGGGGAGAAGGTGGCCCTCTACTTCGCCTGGCTGGGTAAGTCCCACCCACTGCCCCTTGGGGCCTCCTGGGCCCCCGACTTTAGTCTTCAGGGTAATAGTCTCCAAGAGGGGAGTGAGCACAGGGGCTGGGCTGCCAGCGTGCTGATCCCTCCTAGGCCAACACAGCCACTGGCCCAGGGCATCTTAACACCCCAGTAAGGGGCTGGGAACCCCCTCCTGCAGGTGGGCCTCCCCACTCCAGCCACCAGACCCGGCCCATGAGGCCTTGGTCATGTGGTGGGGGCTGCAGAGCCCAGGACAGAGGCTAGGACAAAGGGGCTGCCTGGGGGAACCTCTGAGGACTGTCCCCCTCACAACTGCCTCCCAGATGGCCCCAAACCCTGCTGGTTGGAGGTGGGTCTCTGGGGGACAACTGTGTCTGTGCAGACCCCCACCCGGCACTCAGCCCGGCGCTGGGTGCACAGACCCATCATGGTTGCTGACAGCTGGCTCCTGGGGCCCCTACCTGGCTCCCCTCTGCAGGGTTCTACACAGGCTGGCTCCTGCCAGCGGCCGTGGTGGGCACGCTGGTATTCCTGGTGGGCTGTTTCATGGTGTTCTCAGACACACCCACGTAAGTGCCCTCTCCCCTCAGCTCCCAGGCCTCACCCTGTGTTTCCGGGGAGGGTGGAAGGGGGACCCCACCTGCCAGACCCTGTGCAGAGCTGAGGGTGGAGGTGAACATGAGCACCTCCCGCCTTCCTGGATGTCAGAGGGCCCATGGATCTGGCTGGAAGGGTGACAGGTAGATAGGGGTGCTCCAGGACTGACCATCGGACAGGTGTGACCTCAGGCTGACACAGGTGAACAGGTGTGTTCCCACACTGATACATGTGCTCCAGACTGACACAGGTAGACAGGTGTGCCCCTAGAATGACACAGGTAGACAGGTGTGTTTCCAGGATGACACAGGTAGACAGGTATGCTTCCAGGATGACACAGGTAGACAGGTATGCTTCCAGGATGACACAGGTAGACAGGTGTGTTTCCAGGATGACACAGGTAGACAGGTGTGACCTCAGACTGACACAGGTAGACAGGTATGCTTCCAGGATGACACAGGTGGACAGGTGTGCTCCCAGACTAATTGTATTGGTACCTTTGTTTCTTGGAATAGTGTAAGCTTTCCTTTTAATAAACAAAAGACAGGGCTTGAATTTTACTTTATTATGGAGCTGAAATTTCAAAAAGTTATCTCAAAAATTATCATTGCATGTATTTTAAAGAAATGCTGGGCCTGGCAAGGGCAGTGGCGGGAGGGAGAGGACAAGGGGCAGACCTGGTGGGAAGGGGTCCCCGTGCTCCAGCACCCCCTTCCACTCTGAAGGCAGGAGCTGTGCAGCAGCGCTGATAGCTTCCAGATGTGCCCACTCTGCCTCAACTGCCCCTTCTGGCTGCTCTCCAGCGCCTGCGCCCTGGTCCAGGTATGAGGAAGGGTGGGCGAAGGGAGGAAGGCAGCTCCCTGGGTCCTGGTCCTGCCCCCCCGTGACCCCAGCTCTGTGGTGATGTCTGCACCTGGCGTGGGGTTGGGACTGGTGCGCCCCTTGGCGGAGTGCCTGCACCAGTTGGTGCCCAGCGGTGGGCCCTTACTCTTGTTGCTGTTATTGTCTGTAACTGACCAAGAGGAACCAGAGGACCCCCAAAGGCAGGCACAGCTGAGCCTCCAGCTTAAGAGGTGGGGGCAGGAAGCTCCTCGGAGGCCTTGGGCCCGGTGGGCCCCCACAGCCGCCCAGCACACTGTGGGGTGTTAGCTTTTCTTTGTGGCCTCACCTGCAGCCCCCACACACCCGGCTTGGAGCTCTTGGTGCATTGTTGGGGCCCAGACCAGACACACCTTTGACACACTCCTGGCATCCGTCTGTACCGTTTCCTAGGGCTGCTCTAACACATTCCTGTTCTTGAAACAACAGGAATTACTTTCCCGCAGCTCAGAGGCCAGAAGTCCAAACTCCGGGTGTTAGCAAGGCTGGCTTCCCCTGGCCTGTTCCCTGCCTTGCTTTTACTTCTGGTGGCTGCACCACCCCAATTTCTGCCTCTGTGTTCACGTGGCCTTTCCCTCTGGGCACCTGTGCCTATCCCCCTTCTCTTCTGTCACAAGGATTTGCCCCTAAACCGGGGTACTTTCATGTAGAGACCCCACCTTAATTACACACACAAAGGCCCTTGTTCCAAATAAGCTTACCTTCCAGGTGGGGGCCACAATCCAGTCCACTACAGTCCACCCTCTGGCCCCCAAAACGTCAGGTTCGTGCAAAATTACAGTCACTCCAACCCAACATCCCCAAGTTCTAAACTCAAGTCCAAAAATCTCCCAAATATCAACAGCTCAAAAAGTCCAAAACCTCACCTAAATTACGTAAGTCGTTATGGGGGAGACTCGGGTGTGGCCGCCCTGGGGCAACATCCCACTATCTGTTGCCCCATGCCGGGGAACAAGTCGCCTGCTTGCACAATACGATGCGTTGCTCAAGGGAGAAACTGAGGCACAGAGGGGCCAGCAGTCTAAGCGAGTGTGAACCACGCGCCCCGCCCGCAGGCTGGCCGGCTCTTCGACCACGGCGGCACCGTCTTCTTCAGCGTGTTCATGGCCCTGTGGGCAGTGCTGCTCCTGGAGTACTGGAAACGCAAGAGCGCCACGCTGGCCTACCGCTGGGGCTGCTTCGACTACGAGGACATCGAGGTGGGTCGGTCCCCAGACCGTGGCCACTGCCCACGAGGCCGCCACTAAGCATTGGCTTCCTTCCAGGAGAGGCCGCGGCCTCAGTTTGCCGCCTCGGCCCCCACGACAGCCCTGAACCCCATCACCGGCGAGGAGGAGCCCTACTTCCCCAAGAGGAGCCGTATGCGCCGCGTGCTGGCCGGCTCTGTGCTGGTGCTGATGATGGTGAGGGTCCTGCCATCCTCGCTCCCTTCACGCCCCTTCCTCCTGAGCTGCTGGGGGCAGCTGTTGTCCCCCCTACTCCTGGGACCCGGGAGACACTTGCTGCCGTAGAAAGGCCCTCATGTGCCTGGGCTCCAGAGAAGGCGCCAAGCTCAGGGCCAGGGCAGGGGGTCTGGGTTGTAAGACATTGAGTGTGTGTGGGCAGGGACTCCCAGAATGTTCCCCACGGATGTGGGCTTGGGGCATCTTCAAGCATGGGGGGGGGGGCGGATGGTTGATTCTCAGCACTTGGGACCAAGAACAACGCACAGTGGCTCCCTTGACACCGGGATATCGCCCACCTGTAATTCTAAATGGCCTCCCAGCCCCCTCCCTCCCCAGCCCCCCATCCTGCCTCCCTGTCCCTCCAACAACCCACTGGAAGAAGCACGGAGCACAGCCAGGCCTATAAGTGGGGGCTGTGGCCTGAGGGCGCTGGAGTCCCAGGCCTAGGCGTGGGGGCTCACGCACGTGGTCACCCATAGGTGGCAGTGGTGGTCATGTGCCTCGTGTCCATCATCCTGTACCGCGCCATCATGGCCATCCTGGTGTCCAGGTCGAACAACACCCTCCTGGCAGCCTGGGTGAGCCTCCACTGCCTGCTCCTGCTGGGGGGGGGATGGCTCGGGACCACCCCCAGCGCCAGCTCTGATCCACCACCTGTCACCAGGCTTCTCGCATTGCCAGCCTCACAGGCTCCGTGGTGAACCTGGTCTTCATCCTTGTCCTCTCCAAGATCTACGTGGCCCTGGCCCACATCCTGACAAGATGGGGTGAGTGGCCAAGGCTGAGTGCCGACTCAGGACCATCCCAGCCCTGCTGCCCGAGGCAGAACACACTTCCTTGCAGATCACAGGGTCCTCCAGTCTGAATGAGGCACAGATGGGATGTGAGACCCGCCCCCAACTGTGAGCAGTACCTGAGGGTGGAGACAGGAGGGTCCTCTGGGGCACCCAGGCCTTGCCCTGCTGCTGGGGTGCCCTTACCCTACCCCCACCCCGTGCACAGGGCCGTTCGAAGCTGAGCTCCCCTGGGACGTTCTGCCCAGCCCAGGCCCCCCTGTGTGCCCCTGCTTTCTCAGTGTCTGAGAGAGAACTAGAGGTGGCTGCAGAGTGAACTCCTTCCTTCTCCTCCTCTGCCCGCCCCCACTGCCTGCCTCTCCCCCCACTTTCTCTACTCTCCCATTTCCTAAAGGCAAAAGCCAATGAACCAGTTCATTCATTCCACACATTGTCTATTAGCAGCCCTGGTCTAGGAGTGGGACAGAGAGCTCAGTGTCCACCTGGGGGGAGCCTTCGGGTGAGCAGGTGTCCCAGGGAGCCCCCACCGTGTTCCTGCAACAGCAGGGCCATGTGCATCCCGTTTCCGGCCTCAGGTGTCCCCTCCAATTCACCTTTTACGCCCCGACCTCTGTCTCGGCACCGGCTTTCCAGGCACGGTCACCCCAGCCTCAGACTGTCACTCCGCTCGGCCTCTGGCTACTCTCTGTGCCCTGCCATTTCACCCTCAGCATTGCTGGGGCTTATCACCTGCCAGCTCTTCCTGCACCAACATAACGTTTTTAGATGATTTTGAAATTAGAACTTGAGGAAAGCTGCCGTTTGCCCCCTTCCTGAACGAGGTTCTGTCCAATATCTGGGCAACACGGCTTTCCTCACTCCCTGGACGGGTGAGGTGGTTACAGGGCTGGGCTGTGGGGGACTGAGTGAGCCTCTCTGCCCAGAAATGCACCGGACGCAGACCAGGTTTGAGGACGCCTTCACCCTCAAGGTGTTCATCTTCCAGTTCGTCAACTTCTATTCCTCGCCCATCTACATCGGCTTCTTCAAGGGCAGGTCAGCACTGTTTCCCCTGGCCGCACCTCACCCTGGTCCCTGCTCCTGCGCTGCCCCAACCCATGTGGCCCCAGAGGCTCAGGGAGGGTGGGGATGACAGTCCAGGAGGCCTGGTGGGGACAGCAGCTGTCCTGGCTCAGGGCCTCAGAGCAAATGCAGCAAGGAAGATAGTGGGGGGAGAGGGAGGGGCAGCTGATGGCACCTCCTCACTTGCGGCCTCAGGACCTCCATTTCCTCTAGGTTTGTGGGGTACCCAGGCAGCTACCACACCTTGTTTGGGGTTCGCAACGAGGAGGTAAGTGTGTAGGGACTGACACCCACAGGTCCTGCCCCCTAACCTCCATCAGAATGTTAATTTGCAGGGATTCTTTCTGCCCTCCCCCTCACAGTCGCAACTGCCCCAGGACCCCCACAGCAGGCTCTTCATAGCATTCTCAGACCCCCACCCGGAACAGCACCCACACAACACAATCGTGTCCTCATGTGTCACCCTTTCCCCACGCTGACCTGACTTGTGAATCAGGTCAGTGTGGGGAAAGGGTGACGCTTCCACTGCCCAGAGCTCCGCTGGGAACATAGAGGCTGGTGACTCTCCCAGGGCTCGGAGTCCACTGTGGGCACCTGGGCTTGCCCTGTCCCACCCTCATAGACACTGACGAAAGCCCCTTGAGATCCCCAGGCATCTGGCTCCTCACTGGCTGAGGGCACAGCCTGGGTGGAGCTGGAACAGTGCACAGGTGGTCTCTGGGCCAGGGCGGTGGGGCTCCAACTGCTCTGCCGAGTGCCTCTCCTGGAAGACCCTCTCCTCTCTGGCCGGAAGGGCTCCCTCCTTCCCATGGGTCTGGTCTGTGACCCAACCCCACTGCCTGCAAAGCGGCCAACCCCGAGGAACAGTCTAGCTTCACATGAGCGGGGAGGGGCTTTTCAGGGACTGGGCAGCTGGGACCCCAACTCAGGGGGCTTTTGGTCACCAGTGGGAAAAGTTCCAACGCACACTGGCTTAACGAAAACAGAGTTCCTTCCCGTCTGCTCCTATAATGAAACCGGTCAGGTCCTGTGTGCTCAGGTGGGGCTGGGTGCTGGCGTCTGAACAAGGCTGCCCTACTTCCCCAGCACTGGCCTTGTGCTCGGTCAGGTTCTCCCAACCCCTGGGAGGCCAACATCCCAACAGCACAGGCTGACGCCCTCTTGCTTGCGACCCCTGTGCAAGGTATGCTGTCTCAGGAGCCCCCCCTAACGCCCCCGTGCACCTCTCACTGGCTGGAATTGCTGAGGCCACATAGTGGGTCCTCCCTGGAGCCACGGGGCCAGCATCAGCCTCACGCCATGTGGGTCTCCAAAGAAAATCTGGGTGCCCTGCAGCAGTGGCCCTGGTCATTCCCACGCATTGTCCACTGACCTTGGGGAGACAGTGGGGGGCTTCGGTGAAGTCTGGGGGTGGTCTGGGCAATCCATGGCATATCTGAAGGGGAGAGGGACATGGCAAGGGCCACCTTTCAGGGTTAGAGGAGGTTGGGTGGGGAGGAGACCCCCTCCCCGGCACTAACCTGGAGCTTGGCTGTGCAGTGTGCGGCAGGAGGCTGTCTCATCGAGCTGGCTCAGGAGCTCCTGGTCATCATGGTGGGCAAGCAAATCATCAATAATGTGCAGGAGATTCTCGTCCCGTGAGTCCCCCACTTGCCCTGGGCAGCATCCAGGGACCCTGGGACGGAGTGTCTGGGGCAGTAGCCCCAACCCAGTCCCAACCTGGAAAGAGGTGGAGGGAAGCCAGGTGGGCCCCTCCTGGACCTGGCTGTCTCACCTGCAGGGGAGGGGAGGGTCTGCCCTGCCACCTGCCCCATGGGCTCTGTGACACCCGCAACCTGTGGTTGCTGTGTCAGCATATTGAGTTCTTTTGTCCTGGCCAGCTTCGTTGAGGGAGGAGGCCCATCCTTTCTGTAGCCCCTCTGGCCAGGACACTCTGCAGCACCCCCAGCCAAGGCAGCACCAGAGGGGGGGTCCAGGCGAGGCCCCCCGCCTCAGGTTCCCCGCCACTGGGGTCCTTTCTCCCCAATGCCACCCCCACTGGCACCACTGTGCTTCCCATCCAAGCAACTGGACCCCCTCCCAGGCAAGAGCCCTTGCAATGACTGCCCAAGGCTGGGCCCAACCTGGACATCTTGCCATCTCTCCCGCACACCCGATCTCCCACAGACAGCATGGACTCCCCTGGGCACCTCGAACTGTAGCTGTGGGACCCTAGCCAGCCCATGCCTCTCTTTGGGTGCAGTCAGTGCTGTGCAGCTGAATTCCAAGAGATCATGAGTTTGGGGTGTAGTTGGTGCCTGTAGGGCCTGGATGCGTGCTGACAACGCCACATACACCTATTCCCCTACATATGACAAAGTAACAAGCACACATGCTCCCTTTGACACAGCGATGTCCTCATCTGCTCACTTCCACCTGGACATACCTCTTGGCACCTCTTTGCATGTCCCAGGAGGAACCCATCCCCCCAAAGCTTTCATGAACAATGGGGCACTGCAGGGGAGCTGGGGGAGGGGCTACCCCCAGAAGGAGGCAGATGCGCTTGAGGGTTCTACAAGGCCTGGCCAGCCTGCTGTGCGGGTCCCAGGGTCCAGACCCTCTCCCTGCTGCCTTCAAACTGCAGAGCAACCAGCTGGAGGAGCAAAAGCTATTTTCCTGGGTGTTTCCACCTCCAGGAAGTTCACGGGCTGGTGGCAGAAGTTCCGGCTTCGCTCCAAGAAGAGGAAGGTGGGGGCTTCAGCTGCTGCCAGCCAGACGCCCTGGGAGGCAGACTATGAGCTCCTGCCCTGTGAGGGCCTATTTGATGAGTACCTCGAAATGGGTAGGTGCCCCTGGGGGCCTCCAGCCTCAACATTCCTCTGTCTCCCTTGAAACATGATGTGGGTGGGGACAGAGGGTCCCTAGTGGAGCCAAGCCTACAAAGGATCCCGAAAGGACTTGGGATCGCAGTGGGGAGTGCCTGAGAAAGGCAGGCTGGAGATGGGAAGGGACAGCGCCCCGGGCACAGAGGTTGCGAAGAGGACTGGGGGCAGTTGATGGAGCTCTCCTGGAGTGGCCTTAGTCCCCCACCCCAGTAGGCATCTGCTAGACTAGAGCCTCCTGTAGGAGCTAGGAAGGAAGCTGGGTGCTCAGGAGACCAGGCACTAGGGGTGGGGACAACTGCCCCTGACAGTAAGGCTGCACCTGGGAGGCGACCGGCCTCAGGTCCCCTGACCAATGGAGTCCCATATGGGAGTTGATTCCAGAAAATTTCTTGATGCCCACACTCTTTGCCAGACCCTCAACTGTGCCCTCTCCAGGTGGAGGCCGGTGCCTGTACTCATTTCCTGCACAGGATGGTGCTCTTTTGGGGGACAGGATGTTTGTCCCAGCAGCCCAAGGTCTTACTCTGAGATCATGGCACACTTCAATGGAAAGTGTTGCATCTGAGTCAAACACATCACTGAGCTCCCTGGCAGCCAAAGCAAAAGGGGCGATAGTAGTTGCATCGGTCCCTGGACAAGAGGGAGCAGACAGTTCACGTGCATTTTCATGATAATGTGTGAGTGGGGTTGACCTTGTGTGGCCCTACGCCACTGGACAGCAGGCGATGGGACCAAGGCTCTTCTTAGTATTTTACAGAGGAGCCAGCTGCTCCGAGAGGGGTAAATGGAGAAGGCCGGCCTAAAATCTACTCCCTTTCCTGCCAGAAGCCCACAGGGGAGGAGAGAGAATCCCAGACCTCAGGGAGCCCGGGGAGGCCCATGCCCCTCCTGCAGCTCTGTGGAGCAGTTAGGGGCAGTCAGGGAGGCTTCCTGGGAGCAGGGGCCCTGGTGCTAAGCCTAGGAAATGAATCAGAGCAGAAGCTGGCGGGCGGGGACAGGGCCTGCGGTGACACCTGCGCCCACAGTGCTGCAGTTCGGCTTCGTCACCATCTTCGTGGCTGCCTGTCCGCTGGCGCCGCTCTTCGCGCTGCTCAACAACTGGGTGGAGATCCGCCTGGACGCGCGCAAGTTCGTGTGCGAGCGCCGGCGCCCAGTGGCCGAGCGCGCGCAGGATGTGGGCATCTGGTTCCCCATCCTGGCTGGCATCACGCACCTGGCGGTCATCAGCAACGTGAGCGCTGGGTGGGGGGAGGTCAGGGAGGCT